CCAGTGAGATCATGAAATACCAGGGAGATGGGGCAGGGATAATGAATCTGCTGAGCCAAGATGATGTCATGAGCCTGGCGTCTTACGAGGGATTTAGTGTTTTGTGCCATGCAAGTGAAAATGAATGAAGGTAGAGCATTTATCCAGGCAGAAAGTAAATACAGAGATTAGACTTGTCATTGTTACGGAGGCAGCACCAAAAGCTGACAGTGTCCCTGGAGCCAGGGCTGCTCATCCGGAAAGAAATGGGCAGGAAGAGAGAGGAGCCTGTCCTAGAGCTAGTCTCCTTTTAGCCACAGGCATGTGGTAGGGATTTGCATTTTAATTATTTTTCAGTAGTCTTTTAAGCTCTCTTTCCAAAGCATCTCCCTCTGCTGCTCTGTATTATGGCCTGCAATTTGTTCTGGGCTCTGAGAATACACCCAGAGCGCTGCTGGACTCCACGCACGGCGGAGGGCAACCACTCGAGGATTAAGGTGGTGGCAGGTAAAGTCTAGCCATTGACCTTTATGTTTCCTTTCCTTTGTAGTGGAAAAGCTTTTTTGCCCAGGCTTCTGGCCTGAGGCTGTTCTCAGTTTAGATTTTTAAGGTCATATCTTTCCTAGGTAGAAACAAAAATACCACTGCTGAACTGGATGCTGCTACCGTGGCTCAGGAGACAGACTGAGCTTTGTTTTTTATCACCCGCTCAATGCTCCTGAGAAAATGTAGCCTGAATTCTCCGATTCATGGCTTTGTTCCCCCTTCTCCTTTTTACATCACAGCAGTGTCACTTTTCAGCCTGGTTTGAGCAAGTTGTGTCTGTGCTTCTTGAGCTCTGTAATGCACCATCCTTCTGCAGCAGAGCACTCAGACAAGCAACTGCCACAGCTTCATTTCAGCGTGGGTTTTTTTGGATGATGTGATTCTTCCTTTGGTCCACTTGGCTATGACACAGATCTCACTAGTGTTTGAGCTCTACAGGTTTTAAAATAAACTCCTCTCAAGCAGATTTAGCATTATTGTCCTTTTTTTTTTTATGGGTGTCAGCTCTGTTTTGGACTTACTCTGATGGCAAATCTTACTAGCACCATTTATGGGTGTCAGCTCTGTTTTGGACTTTGATGGCAAATCTTATTAGCACCAGATGTTAAAAGACAGAGGGTTGCTCTTGTTTTTCTTGGCACAATATATTCCCACTGCACCCTGTTTAATATTATCTGAACAGTAATCTGATGACTAGGAGAGCGAGCGAACTAAAGCTTTACGCAGATGATCTCTTTTCATCTCTTCAGCTGACTCTTCTAGGCACTGCATTAAAGGATCGGTTTGATAAGGAATTCATCACTCCTGAGGGCAATTATCATTTTTGCTCCCCATGTTTCTCAAATGGGAAGAACTAGCAGCGTAATCTCCTTTATCCTTCAGTGTAACTTTGAAGACAGTATCCAGCCACTCCTCCCTGGGAGCTGTGTGTTCTGGAACAGACTTGACACAGTAGCTGGTAAATTACAGGGCTGGAGGAAGCAGCATCTTAAATTTGGATCCTGTGGAAAATCCCAGAAAAGCAATAAGCACTCAGAGTAGTTTATCTAGGTATTTCCAGCGTGTGGTTTCTGTATGCCTTTGCATCCTTTCATCCACTCAAGTGATTTTTCAGGGTCACTGTCATTAGTGGTACTGAGATATCCAGGCTTTCCCCCTGCCTAGCAGAGGCTGGATGCCTGCAGGTAAACACCCTGGTGCCCACTTTCCCTCTGTGAGATGTGCAACTGAGCTACTGTTTGTGGAACAACATGCCTCTCTGTGAAAAAACTGGCTGACACGTCCCAGGTAGCAATTTCTGCTCTAGCATGTGGATGGTTAACTAGTGCTGGCTTGCTTTGGGTTGGCCTCTCGACCGAGAGGTGCCTGTGTGAGAAATGCCTTGTGCTGTCACTGCTACGCTACTGCCGATCTAATTACTTTTTCTTTTGTCTGTCTCTTTCCTTTCCTCATCTTCCTTGTTTTTGTGTTGTACGTCTCTGCATCCTGTAGTACAAATCTGTGTTTAGGTCCTACTCCCAGGACTTTGTGCCTCACAACCAAGTCTCCATACCTCCTTTCCTCTCTTCTACCTCCTCCTCCTGCTCCACCCCACCCTTTCCACCCGTCCATCCATCTCAGAGCTCTGACCTAGTGGTGCCCGCCGCGGCCAGCCAGTCACCCAGCACCGCGGATGTGCCAAACTCCTCTTCTCAGGAGAGCAGCTTTAACGGGAATGCTCCTGTCTGCCTTCCTTCTGAAACCTCTTTCACTGATTCTCTCCAGACGCCTTCGGTGAGACTATCCAAAGAGATAATGCACCTTAACGCAAGGCTGGGTTTATTTGTTTTTTAAAAGAAAATGTCTCTTGTATCAATACATGCTGAATGTGATCTAGTCCGGTTTGCACATGTGTGTGTGAATTGCGGAGAGGTAATTTCATTAAAAAATGCTGGCTAGAAAAAATGAACAACCTCAGGAGGTTTGCAAAAACGTTAGCACGTATGTAGGAAACATAAAATGTCAAATCCTGGTGAAGGGGAGAGGAGAAGTTGCTGTAGCTTCCTGCAATTGTAATACAAAGCTGAAGAAGGTAAAGGACTCTTCTGTGAGGTTGGTTGATTCGAAACACGGGCTCCCAACAGTGCTTCACATCCTGCAGTTGCTGCCATGGCGGGATTTGGTGATTGCTGCCCTGCTCCCTCCTAAGTCACTGGTGAGCCCCAGGAGCGGTGGGTGCAGTCCAGCTCCATCTCCCCTGTGCATAAACCTGTTGCTCTCTCCAGGCTCCTGCTCTTCCCGTTACCAGCAGCCCTGGCTGTGTGCTTGGTGGCAGTGCACGTTAGTGCAAAGCATCACGTGTTGGTGGTCAAGTTAGACTAACCCTGTTCCCACACTGATACGACACTACTAGTTCGAGGTCCCAGATCAGTTTTGCAGATCACTGAGTGGGTTTGTCCAGTACAGCTGCTTTTTTTAAACACCTCGTTTTCAAGGCAGTTCCTCTTTCATTTGCTGCAAAGCCCAGAGTTGATGGGGTTAGAGCTGTCAGCACAGTGCATGCTAGTGCTGCCTCTTTACAAAGTTTGGAAGAGGGACACTGAATGCAGATTAAATGATCGCTTTGGACCTGACCTTGCTGTTGCATCTTCCTTGTGTTGGGTCCTTGTTACAGCCCAGAAGCCCTCGAGTTTGGTTTAGCCTGGCATGATGGCTCTAGTCTGTGCTTGTAGCAGAGTTTGTGAGATACATTTGATACCCTCTGGGCTGTAGGGCTGATCTGCATTTAGCAGCAGGACTACAGCGCAGGTAGGACAGGCACTCGTATGTCGAGCTTGGAGTCCATGGCAGCTCTTGCAAAGCAGTGCCTACTGCTGTCCTGCTGCAGCTCAGGGCCTTCGGGGTGGTCCTCAAGAACCAGAAAATAGTTACCCCCCCAGGAAGGTACAGCCTCGGTGGCCAGAGGAAGGGCTCCCAGTTAGGTGACCACAGCTGCCGAGAGCGCTTCTCCTCCCAGCCCGTGGGCACGTTCTCTCACTAACATTAAGTGCTGGCGGAGGGCACCATCACGTATTTCCTTTCATCCTGTCTCCCTTAGAGTGAAAACGCCAGTGAGGAGGCTGGTGAGGGTGAATACGTCAATCTGTATTCCTCTGGCCAGAGCAACGGGGAACTCCCTCGCTCTGAAGGAGTAAGTAACCCGGAGAAGGCCGGACACCGGGAAGGGGCTGCCTGGTGCATGCTGAGTTCACGCCGGGGCTGACGCGCTTGGCACCGGCCTCTTCTGCACACCGTGGAGCTCCTGTGTCCGTCCTGCTGCCCCGGCTCCCTTGCTGGCGGTCCCTCTGCTTGCCCACTCCTGGCTTGCAGGCTTGGGTGGCCTCCCGGTCCGGGTGGAGAGCAGGCGATGCTTTCGGGGTCGCGGTGAGCTCTGGCAGGAGGTAGGGACAGCTTTTCCTGCTGCGCTGTTTCGTTTGCGCTTCGCTCTCTGTTTGGAGCTGCTTGCGTGAGGTTCCCTTCCAGAAAGCTGCACGCCGACCAGTGCCATCCTGGGGCCCTGTCTATTCTTGTAACTGCTTTGGATTCCCTGTTTTAATACAGAAAACCTTGTCCTCTGAATTTTTCTTTTTTCCTTCACCGTTTGGATACAAAGTAAGTGATTGCTCTAGCATTGTAATCGCACGCTGTTTCTTCCTTTACTCAAGCCTTCTATCTTAGATACTTCCTAGAGGAGACAGGGCATTTTTCATTGCAGGGAGGTACCGCCTTCCTGTTGGGTCATAGGAAACAGCAGCAGAGGTCTGTGGCAATCCTTTTGCCTGCCCTCATCTTGGAAGGCACATCTCCTACAGGATGTCTCCGAGACCTTTATCCATCCTGGTGTTAAATATGCCAAGAGATAGTGCTCCCATCGCTTCCCTTCAGGAGAGACATCTAGGCAGGCCCATCCTTTTGGGCAGCTGCGAGCTGATTCTCAACTTTGAAGCTAAGGGCTTTACAGATACAGCCTGGAAAAATTCTGCAGACACCAAGAAACCTAAGCTCACCAGTGTGTTTTCCAGGCCAAATGGATAGCGTGTAGGTGGTTTCAGTCCTGTCTGTTCAGTAGGTTGAATTTCCAAGTTTCAGTCTGCATGATGTTAAATAATTCTGAACTCCAGCACTGTTAGATTAATATTCCCATTTGCCATTCATGGCTATTTGTCTCCTTAATAAATGGCTAATTTAAAATGCTGTATCTTTACTCTGAGCTCTCTACCTGCTGTTCTATGCCGCGGGTTCAGATGGTTCTGCTTTTTTGAATTAGCCTCATTTCCACAGCCGTGAATTGTGAGGTGGAAATGTTGCATCGTTGCCTAACCTCTTCTGATGGGAGAGAAGGGAGGTAGGAACAGCAGTGTGCATCCACCCCCTAAGACAGGTTGGTGTTTTGGGGGCTGTGACCTGGAGGGGAACTGAAACTGGAGAGCTTAGAGCTCGCTGTGTCCGTTTTGATTAAAGCAGAAGGCAAGTGTATGTCAACAGTAAGGGCTGGAGGAAAAAAAAAAAAAGAGTCGTGAGGGGGTTAAAATCCAAGACAACAGCTGACTTGTGTTGTAACTGTCAGCATCATTTCACAATGTTAAAAGCAAACAGTACTAATTACACTAGTCTCCAGAGATGGTTCCAAATTTCCTGTCTGATTAACTTCTGTGTTTTCCTGGCATTTGGCATTAACTTGCATCAATCTTCAACTGCTCTGTAGGAATTTACAGTAAAGGGCCATTTAGAGGCAGTCAGACTGTAAATGCAAGGCTAGCTGTGGTGTAGGACCCCATGTAATAATGAAAAACAACTTTCTCTTTGCAGGAATCTCCCTCTGTCAAAGACGGCCACTCCAAAGACTCCACTTTGAACAGCAGTGCCATGGGGAAGGAAGGCAAAGATGGTGCTGAAAGGTGAGCCTGACTCCCCTCGTACTCCTGCTTCCCAGCCTTGAAGGGTATTGGCACCAACATCCTGTTAGCCCTGCCCTCTGCCAAACCGTCCTTGGGGCTGCCTGTTCTGCCCTCAACCTTCTCAATGTTCTCTAAGCCCACTTTTTTTGCACAACTGGTGAGAAGAAGGATCCTGC